CACTGTCCATTTTTCAAAGACTGAACAAGATAGCCTTGATGGAAGTAAGAAAAATGGAAGAAAATCAATATAGGTGCCCTTTTCATAAACTTTTCAGAGCAGTGCTAAATTAAAAGGAGATATAGGTGAGAAGCAGAGATGAAAGGGAAAGAAGGGAAAATAGAAAATCCAAAAGGAATAGTTTACAGAGAACAGGACTAGAGGAATAAAAAGTGAAGTAGGGTTTGGACCTACCATGGTAAAGGGTAAGAAACCCAAGACTCATAAGCAGCAAGTTAAAACTACACTGAGATGATAGAATTTTTCTTTGTAATTATGGTCATGGTATTTATAGTCCCATGACATAAAAATCTCATGGGAACGACAAGTTACCACACATTGAAAACAGTAACAACAGCGTAAAAGAAAAACCCTAAAAATATTGCAGGCACCACCTGCTCGTCAGGGAGTATGAAAACTGTGGAAGTGATGCTGATTGAACCTTGTATGTTAGGATCAGGCCCTGGGGGCTGGCACCAACCCTTCCCCCCCATGCACTGGGATTGGTCCCCACGGGCCTGGTGCCATCCACTCCAGACAGGACTGGGCCCCAGGGATTAAGCACCCATGTTGTACACAATTCATTATTTTTTAGTAGAACATTAACATATCAATATACTTCATTAAGAAATGCATCGATATCGTGTTGAATGGGAAAGAAGAGCAAGAGGAAAACCTGCTAGGAAGAATATAGCATTTGTGTGTAATGTGCACTTAATAGTCAGCAAATTTAAATTTTTGTAAACATTATTATTCAGTGGCAACAATGGAATTTGAATCATTCTTTTACAAGTTTCAGAAACAAAGCAAGCTATTCTGTCCTTCCTTCAGTTTAGCAATTGCAATGATATACTGTACCATTCTTTGTATTAAAAGCTGTCAAGTGACACTTGGTATATACTAGTGGTGCTCAACATTTTTCCCCTTTCAGCCAGATGGGCAGTGCCTGGTCCGACCGTGGGCCGGAAGGTGATTCCAATCCAGCACCCATGCCATGCCTACCATCTGGCTAGTGGAGTAGGGTGGGGAAGCAGTCCGGCCTGTGTCCGGCACCGCAGGGGGAGAAGAGGGCTTCATCTGGCCTGGCTTGGGGTGGGGGCCAAGGAGGAGAGAGACATAACCTGGCCCCACAGGGGGGGAAAGGGGAATGACCTGGCTCCAACCCAGCCCCATGGTGAAAACGGGGCATGGCCTGGCCTTGAACCTGACCCTATGGGAGAAAGGGGTCATGACCTGTGTGGCAGGGTGCTTAGTGTACCTGCCACTTGAAGAGGAGAGGCAGCCTGAAAAGCAGCATGCAGGTGGCAAGGGGGGGGTGTTAATGAGACCCACATCTGACTAGAAGAGGGCTGGGCTTAGACAAGATATAAGCCCAGACCCTGAGTTGAGCAGGCAATAAGATCCTGGAGGCTGCCGAGTGAACATCTCCTGAGCAGAATGGTTGCAGCTCCAAAATGGCAACACAGAGAGTACAATCAGCAGCAGTCTGGAGGCCTGGGAAGGAACAAAAGTGTGGAGGAGGTCCCTAGGGACCCAGCTAGGGGGCTGGAGCCCAGAGAGCGGCTGAGTGAGAGATCAAGGGGTCTGAGTGTGGGACCAGTGGGGTCCAGGACCCCAGAGAGGACCTATGTGAGGAACCAAAGGGTCTGAGGGTCCAGAGAGTGGCTGAGTGAGGGGCCAGGGGGTCTGAGAGCCCGAGGGGCTGAGTGTGAGACCTGAGGGTCTGATAGCCCAGAATGGGGCTGAAAGTGTAGAGAGTGAACATCAGAAAGTGATGACACCTACGAGGCATGGGGTGTGGTGTAGGGATGGATGGAGCTCTGCAATCAGCCCATAAAGCAATGACCACAGAAACCTGTTGGTCATTAGAGTGGCAGCAATTTGGGAAGCTCTGGGGCAGCCTCCCTTAGATATAAAGTGAATACATCAAGGTGTGGTGGGTGAATGAAGGGGTGACTGCCCACAGAGACCAGAGTGAGTAAGGGCTGAAGGAACCCAGGGGCTTCACAGCCACCCCTAGAGATGGCCCCATTACAACCAGGCCTCATGAGGGGAAAGGGGACTTTGCCTGGCCCCAAGGGGAAAAGGAGGCACGGCCCAGCTTTGTGAGGGTTGGAGGAAGGGGGGCATGGCTTGGCTCCAACTTGGTGCATGGGTTTTTGGGAATTTGGCAGAGGGGAAGATATCTAAATGCCATATCTAAATGCCATGACTCCCCCACTGGCAAATTTCCTGTCCTGTGGGTTGCCCGGTGGGCCAGATGTGATGGCTCCATGGTCTGCATTTGACCCAGAGGCCAGAGGTTGAGCATCCTTGGTGTACATAGTCTTCTCAGTGTAACACCTTGAATTTATTTCCTTTGTACAAAATAAAACTATTACTTAGGAGAAAAAAACCCTATGTTTATACGAATATTTTAATCTTGGTTAATTGTCACTCTTGCACCTGATCCTTCATTTCCTACTCGTGGATACGTCTACCCAAGACGCTAAATGTACTGTAGTCTAATTCTGCTGTGCAGTAGTGTGCAGGGCAAAACTCGTGCTAATATGCTACTGCACAGTACTATTAGGCTACTGCAGTTAGTGACACTAAAAAGCTGTGTGCCAGCACCACTGCATAGTAGCGCCAGTTACTGCTCATTGATTTAGTACTTGGTTATCCAAGTCCTAAACTTAATGTGCAGTAACTATGGCACATGAATGAACATGTAGACACACCCAGTTATATCTATTTTGTATTACAAAACCCCCATGGGGACCAGACAAGATTTTAAGAACTTCATTGTATTTAAGTGCTGTATGCACACAAAGTAAGAGATGGTTCCTGAAGAGTTTACAGTTTAAAATATACAAATCAGTATAACAATTATGATCTTGATTTCATCTAGCTTTTCCTTTATGCATAGTATAACATCTAAATGTATGCCTCTGACATCATATCATATATATTTAGATTTTATATTACACATAAAGGAAAAGCTAGATGAAATCAAGATCATAATTATACGTACACACATATAGCTATAATCTTGATTTCACTTGATATAAATGTGCAAGTGAACAGCTCTGTGTGCATTAGCCCTTGCTGTCTTTTTCTTCACACACCCAAATTACCAAAACTGTCTTGTCTAGAATTTCCACCTGAAATGTTGACTGTTTTGACCTTTGAAAGCACATTATAGGTAGAAGTGAATTTCTTGATCCAGTCTATGGAAAGTTGCCAGCTATTGAAATAGTGAGGGATTTTTTTTCCTGAAATTGTGAGGACTTAAAACAGTATAAAATGAACTGCCAAAAACGTGCATTCTATTTAATCACATTTTTTCACCAGTTGTCCTTATCCCTGCAAAGTATGTTTCCAAAAAGATAAACTGAGGCTCAGAAACTTGTGTAACTCTCCAAAGGTCAGTCCAGCTGGTAAGTAGCAAAGCTTGGAATAGAGCTGAGGAATTATGACTCAGTCCTCTGATGGAAGCACTAGATGTACTACTTATTAATAGTGCTGCCTAATAATATCTTTACTGAGCTGCATATTTTATACTTATCACAGATAATATCTATTAAAACAGGATGACTCTTTCAACTATATCAAAATCAAGCTGCATGCTCTGCAGGAGTAAATTTAGGGGCCAGATGTTCAGCTGCACTCTAGTAGCCTTTGTAGAGCTGTTTTAAAGCTGACATGGCTGTATACCAGTAGCAGTGAACAGTCATCAGGAAGGGAGAGTGGGTTGCACACTCACTCTTCCCATTCTGCTTGGACAGCTCCCAAAGTGAGCGGCACTGGCGGATGAGGCGGTATGGCCAGGCATCTGGAGTTGCACTCATTTAGTGTATTTTTTTTCTGCTTACTTATGAAATGCAAGCCACAAATTAAGGCTGTCTCTCTTATGGCTGGAACCCCACTGGAGGCATCAGTTCACATGCCATGTGTGCTTCCTCAGATATGAGTTCTCCTGTCAGAGTTTCACACGAGTATGCAATTTGCACCTCACTGTACCTGGAATCAGTCACACTTTTCAATGTCTTGTTTTAAAAAGAATCTAGATGAGATGCATGCAAACAGTAGAAACCACAGCTTTCCAAGCTGTAATGCTAAACATTTCTTCTTCAGAGGACTTGTGCTCGGTGGTTCTTAAGGCATTTGGAGAAAATGGGTCACTGTGGTAAGAAGCCCATAATTTTTTCTAAAAGGGTAATTTTTGTGTGTGCGCATATTTAGTGCCTGATACACTTAGTTGCTTCCCATTGCATAATCGCCTGGATTCTTATGCCTAATGTGCACTAACTGCCGCTTGAATGCTTCATTTCTTCTTTTATTAAAATGATTTTGCGTTTATCTGAGTATGAATTAAAGAGAGGTAATATCATTCTTTAGAGTTATGAAACTGCCGCCTTCTCTATACTTCATTTTTGTGTACTACATCTGAATAACATGTTATTGCACTCTATAAAATCAACTACAAAAACAATACGGAGTCCCATGTGCAACCAAGTGAAAGCATTTCTGGCTCACAGTGACACTGTTAGGTTTTATGAGTGGAAGCACCTTCATGAATATAAGTTTTAGAAACTGGGCTGACAAATGTTTTAATGAGCAAGATTAAAAATTAGGTTCCATTCATGTTGGTCCTCTTCAAGAGTGAGTTCTGAAGTTTACTTCAAAGGATTTGAATCAAACCCTGCAAGTGAATTTACTCCTCTACACAGGCCCCATACTGGTCTTCTGTAAAGCAATCAATTTCTCCCAGTTTGAAAGAGGCTCCCACTGCCTTCAGCTGATTTTTACATCAGGCCCTTGAAGGGCAAGACGGTAGAAAACACAGAAGAAAATATATATCAAAGATGCAATTGTTAAAGCTTCAGTCTTGATCAAATAACTTATTTTAAGGCTTGGAGCAGGAAGGGGTGGTGTGTTCAGCCTGTTCAGTACCAGACATGATATAAGACCCAGTGCAGCAATGTGCTTAAGCATGCAAATATTGCTACTTCTATACAGTAACGTAGTTAAGTATGTGTTTATATTTCAACTGGACTATTGGTCCCAATGGAAAAGGAGGGGGGAACAAAACAAGCCTGTGGTCTATTGTAAATATCTCCCAACGTTCTCAGATTCTATTCTGGCTTCAATTGCATATAGGTTATTTATTCTGCATATAGGTTATCTATTTTGCTTTACAGTATGAAATGAGGAAGGAGGGGGGGAATCATTGATCTTTTTAAAACATATATAACTAAAGCTCGTTAGTCTTTAAACTACCGGTATACAAGGAAAAATGTTTCAGCGTGAACATATTAGAAGAAGAGGCTTCATGTGATTTTGGCTATGTAGGTTTTTCTGAAGCATCGGTCTTCATAACTGTAAAAGCTGAGAGTAGGATCTCAAGTTTTTCTACTGTGCTCTATGTTACTGAATATTCCTAACAAATATTAGCCAGTGGTATTATTTTAAATTTGCAGAACAAATTTGCTTTTTTTCTCTTATCTGAGTTTCCTCACACTTTTATTTACAGTATGTATGGGAACATCAATATCTGAGAGACTCGAACACTGAAATGTCCCTTTGGGCGCTGTGATATACAACAAGACATCGATCATTTTAAGCAAACTGCCTTCATATCAAGGCGAGGTAGATGAGACAGACAAAGGGAAAATGCTGTGACCCAACATCACCAAAATCTACTTCTTCCTTCCAGCATTATTTGCCACCTCTGCAGTCGAACATGCAGATCGCAGACCAGCCTCGTCAGTCGTCTTTGGACTCACGGATGACTTCCCTATTTGCTGGAAGACTGCCATCCTTGTATCGAGGGACTGCCAGTGATGACAACGTAAGAGAAACATGTATTTTAACTGGTAATGGAATTTCTAAACATGAGAATGTAACTATACTGCTGTCGCTCAATTATTTTCAGTATATAAATGATGTTGATGATACTTCAACTATTCAAAATAAAAAAACTTTTAAAAGTCAACTGAAAGCTCTATACGAAAAATGAACAGAAAAGCACATATTCATGATTTACCAAGCAACATACACAAACTGCAGTCTATGGGAATAAGCATGAGATGGGGCTATCTGCATCCCTTGCCCACACTGGTGAGCAATTAGTGAGCACATGACATCTCATGAGTAGTCACATTTTTAGATAATAATATTATCTTTATGGGAACAGCTGCCTGCTCTTTTGAGAAAGGCAGCCAAAATATGTTCCTCCAGACCAGGGGTAGGCAATTATTTGCAGCTGCAGGAGAGAATGATCTGGGAACACAGGCAGGTGGATGGATGGGTGCTAAAACCCAGCTGCTGCTGCTGCTTGTTTCTACAGTGGCACTGGGGAAAGCTTCCCCAGCCAATATTCATCCCCATAGCAATGGGGGAAGAATGCCCACAGGAGCCCAAAGTCTGCTGCTGCTGAATTCAGCCAAAGCCCCATGTCTTTGGGAGCTGGATCTGGCCCATGGGCTGTAGGTTGCTGACCCCTGTTCCAGATGACTCCAATTTTATTTCTGTTATTTATGCTATGTAGTACTTGTATAGCATCTATAGACACTGTTTATAAACTAAGGATTGCATAGCTTGCATAGGGCTGGTATGGGAGGGCAGCATTTGACCTATATTTTCTCAGACATTTCTGTAGGAAAGATTTTGATGCCTTTACTTACGATGAGGAACACTATACTTTATGAGGAATCCTATTGATTTCATTGTCAGTATTTCTGAATAAGGTGCTACTCCAAGTGAAACAAAATCAGTCTTTATTACGTCACCCGCAATGTAGGTGCATGATTTTTCAAGGTGGCTTAAGCATTCTCTTAAACATGAGAAGATGCAATACAGGAGCATGAGCAGAGGCTGTGGGGAGGCAGGGCTGCAGCTCTGTATCTGAGCCTGAGTCGGGGCCAAAGGTGGAGCTGCAGCAGCTGTCTTCATCCTCCCTCTTGTATTCAAATCCAAGATGAATCCATGTGGAATGGCAAAAAAACCCCCTTGTCTTGGATTTGAGTAAATGTGATAACATAGGAAGGGATGGGGGCTTGGGCGGATATAATCACTCCTAAATAACAGTGTAGACATATCCAATAACATTTTACAGCATTTAATAAATTTAATTGGGCTTTTTATTATTGTCAACTTTAATTGAAGGACCTAGATTGTAGACACTGAGAATCCAGTTCAACATTTATCCCCAGTTGTAGTAGATTTTCTAGTGTAGAGAAATATAGCAAAGGTATTTCCATTTGCCTTCTCATCATTAAACCAAGGTTGCCATTTAAAACCCAAGGCACACCCCCTGTGACCTCTTCTATCTCTGGTCACCCCATTCAGGCATTGGCCCCTCAGCCTCAGTTCTACCTGTGCTTGGACACTGACCCCTGGGTCTCAGGCACAGGCCCCTCTAGGGCTCCTCCTGCTTCCAGTCCTAGGCCAACCACCCTTCAGGGCCCTTGTTCACGCCCATCCCAGTTGAGCCACCCTTCAGGCCACCTAGCGCTCTGTGTTGAATCCTTAATCCAGCCTTAATCCAGCTCATTCCTCCTGGCCCTTTGCAAGGCTCAAAACCCAGAGTTCCCCAGGCATCCTGCTATGTAGTCTCCTTCTCCCCTACAGCCACAGCCTGGTCTTTCAGTGTAGCACAAACCCCAAATAGCACCAGAAACAAAAGCACACAACTGATCTTCCCAGATGCCACACCTATACAGCTCCTTGTGCTATGAGGATCTAAGGCAGTCTGAGCCTTGGGCTCCTGGCTCCACCTGACCTGGCATGTTGTTAATAAGGCCCAGGTTCTGCTCATCCCTTATTCATCAGTCAATTGTTCTGCTGCCTGTAATTTGCAGGTTGAGTCCTGCAGCCCTCATAGCTGGACTCCTTCTGGGCTGCATTTGCTTTGTGACTCTGTTGTTCCTTCTTCCAAGAAACAGGGAAGGGGGTCCCCTTGTTACATGCTGGTGGTAACTTTATACATCAACAAGGGTGTATTTGCTATGAGCAATCACAGGGTGGCAGCATAGAGATGGAAGCACTACACTTAATGAATTTAAATAAAAATGTGATGGCTTCAATGGGAATTTGGTGGCACATAAGATTTGTGATGGCCCTCAACATGGGGTTCAGTTTATCCTTTTGTTAGGGTAGTTTGTTATGTTTAATGCTTTGAAGATGTACCTGCTTAAAATATTGTTTATATTTAGCCTTAATTAATCATTGCTTAAGTTTTGTTCTTATTCAGTTTTTATTTTTATCACTGCAAGAAGTTTTTTTAACTTGTTATCAGCTCCAGTTAATTGAACTTGGCACTAACAGGCTGATTCAGAGGGATGAAAGGATTGGCTATATTAATGAAAGGTGATAAGGGAGACCAACGGACAATTCGCAAAGAAAGACACCCCGAAAAAGGCCAAATTAAGAGGTGTTCTTTTGATGGGTCTGATAGACAAAGGAATATGCTGAGGATAAAAGACAGACAGGATGCTGACCACAGACAACATAAAAGGGGGCAGCAAGAAAATTCATCATCATTGTCATAAATACAGCCTTCTACACCTGTCTGGACTGTCCCAGCCCACGATGCACTCTTTGCTTCTAGGAACTGAGTGGTTGTCTTCTCTGCTGAGCAAAGTAAGATCTGGGATTGGGCGAGATTATTGTAGTGAATGTTTCTCTCTCTCTGAATATAGAAACTGCTAAAATAATACTTGTTGTATTAATAGAGTTTGATATTAAGGCACTGAATTGTCTGCATTCATAGTTCATGTTCCTTTTAAGGGTTAATTGTGTTTTAACACAATTGTGGTGCTAATATTTTGTAATAGACAAGATTGTTGTTGTCTCATCTTTGCATTCCTAGTTTGTTGTCTTTTTAAATCTCTGGTTAACCCACCAATATGGAAAATTTAATTTCCATAGCGATTCTAAACCTGAGCACGTTGTGTTTGGTCATACCAAAGGTGGCCCTGAGAAAGCATCACTGTTTTATACCCATAACTGCTTTAAGCTAAATGCCTTCTCTCTGCCTGCTGCTATATTTAGCTACACCAGGATTGACTAGTCATTAGCATTTTGCTTTTTAGTCTTCCTGGAAAAATCAGCAAATGTCAAATAAATATCATGGGTGCAAGACTAACCTAACCCAGCACAGTTCTGACTTACGCAATTTTCAAGTTAATAGTGTATTACTAGAAAGTGTCCTTAGTTTCTCACAAAAAAATTCAGAATGGAATCCTAGGTGGTGTTACGCTGTAATATTTTTTCCAGATACCAATGAGGGCCAAATTTGCAAGGGATATTCAGTTTGTTCAGCACTGGGTAAGGTCTCAGCACATTCACCACTAAATTCATAGATTCACAGATTATAGAGTCGGAAAGGACCCAATGGATCATCGTGTCTGACGCCTTGCCCCTGGCAGGAAAGAGGACCAAAGTCAGATGATCCCAGCCCTGTGATTGTCAAGCCTCCTCCTGAAGACCTCCAAGTTAGGTGACAGCATCACTTCTCTTGGAAGCCCATTCCAGACTCTGGCCACCCTTATTGTAAAAAATTTCTTCCTAATGTCTAACCTAAATCTACTCTCCACTAGTTTGTACCCATTATTCCTAGTTACTCCCTGGGGCACTCTGGTAAACAGCTCATCCCCAATTCCCTGCTGCCCTCCCCTGATAAAATTATAGGCGGCTATAAGGTCTCCCCTTAGCTGTCTTTTGTAAAGGCTGAAGAGATCCAGATGCCTCAACCTCTCCTCATAAGGTCTTTCATGGAGACCACTAGTCATGCAAGTGGCCCTCCTCTGAACCCTCTCCAGATTCTCTGTGTCCCTCTTGAAGTGCGGTGCCCAAAACAGGACACAGTACTCGAACTGAGGCCTGACCGATGCCACAGAGAGGGGGAGCATCACCTCCCTTGATCTGTTGGTCATGCATTTGCTAATGCATGATAAGGTGCGATTGGCTTTGTTGATGGCTTTGTTACACTGCTGGCTCATGTTCATCTTGGAGTCAACTATGACTCCAAGATCCCTCTCAGCCTCTGAGCTGCTGAGGAGGTCATCCCCCAACCTATAGGTGTGCAGGGGATTCCTCGTTTTTAGGTGGAGTACCTTGCATTTATCTTTGTTGAATTGCATCCTATTTCATTCTGCCCATTGATCTAACCTGTCCAAGTCGGCCTGTATCTGCTCCCTGCCCTGCGGTGTATTAACTTTGCCCCATAACTTGGTGTAATTGGGAAACTTGGAGAGGGTGCTCTCCACACCCTCGTCCAGATCACTGATGAAGATATTAAATAACACCAGTCCAAGGGCTCAACCCTGCGGGACACCACTGCCCACCTCCTTCCAGGTTAAAAATGACCCATCCACCACCACTCTCTGGGTACAGTCGCTAAGCCAGTTGGTGACCCACCTGACTGTGTAGGTATTCACTCCACAGCCTGTTAGCTTCCGTATGAGAATAGGATGCGAAACTGTGTTGAAGGCCTTCCTAAAATCCAGATAGATGACATCGGCCTCAGCTCCTGTGTCAAGGCAGTGTGTGACCTGGTCATAAAAGGCTATGCAGTTTGTCAAGCAGGATCTACCTGTGACGAACCCGTGCTGGTTTCCTTTCAGAATCGTTTCCCCTGATGGGCCTTCACAAATGTGCTCTTTGATGAGTTTTTTTAGTATTTTCCCTGGGATAGAGGTAAGATGGACTGGCCTAAAGTTACCTGGCTCCTCCCTTCTCCCCTTCTTAAAAATGGGCACCACGTTGGCCCTTTTCCAGTCCTCAGGGACCTGGCCAGAGCACCAGGAGTGCTCAAACAGCCGTGCCAAAAGCTCAGCTATGGCACTGGCCAATTACTTCAGCACCCGTGGATGGAGGTCATTCGGGCTGGCTGACTTGTACCCATCCAGCCCCTCCAAGTGCTCCTTAACTAAGTCAGCACTAACCTTTGGCGGTCTGGTGCCTTTTGGACATCTGTCTATGCTCAAGGTG